GCACGTATGGCGACTGTGACCTGCCTCTGCGCACAGTGGAGAACCTTCTCCAAAACGTAGCCAAATCTGGCCCGTGGGATTGGGTTTACTGGACCGGAGACATTCCAGCACACAACGTCTGGTCTCAGACCCGGGCACAACAGCTGAACGAGCTCGTCACCATCACTAGACTCCTACACAAACACCTGGGGCCTAATGTAACCATTTACCCAGCGGTTGGGAATCATGAGAGTACTCCGGTGAATAGTTTCCCTCCTCCGTTTGTACATGGCAATCGGTCGTCCCGCTGGCTTTATGACTCCATGGCTGAGGAGTGGGCACCCTGGCTGCCAAAGGAAGCCCTGGAGACGATACGGTAAAGTACTGATGGAAAAGACATCTGTCACATTAATTAACATCACATTTTGATTATTTTCATTGATAAATACACAATAAAATTATTATTATTATTGTTGTTGTTAGTTATATTTTATTATTTTTATTTGTAATATAATATCATGATATTATTGTTATTGTTAGTTGTTATTTTTATTTAATTGAATTATTTTTATGAATTTTATTTATTTATTATTATTTATTATATATTTGAGATGTATGCCCCTGGAATGTATCTTATTTGTTGTTAATAATAATAATAATAAAATCATTATTTATGTATTTACTTATTTACTTACTACATATGTGGAAATGTTGATATTTTTGCCCCCTGGAATGTATCTCAATAATAATAATAATAATAATAATAATAATAAATTATTTATTTACTTATTTACTTGCTACATATGTGGAAATGTTGATATTTTTGCCCCCTGGAATGTATCTCAATAATAATAATAATAATAATAATAATAATAAATTATTTATTTACTTATTTACTTGCTACATATGTGGAAATGTTGATATTTTTGCCCCCTGGAATGTATCTAATTTTTAAATTATTATTATTGTTGTTGTTGTTGCTGTTGTTTTTGATGTAACCATTTAATAATATTTATTTATTTATTTGTTTATTTCTATTATTTTTTTGTAATACAATATCATGTGGCTATTTAGATATTTATGTCTTCCTTAACATTTTGTTGTTGTTGTGGTTGTTGGTGGTGGTTTTACTACTATATAATTTATTTATTATTTTATTATTATTACTATCATCATCATTATTATTATTATTATTATCAACACATACTTTATTTATTTATTTATTTATTTATTTATATTTAATGTGTGTTTTGTCTTCTCTAGGCGTGGAGGGTTTTACACGGTTGAAGTTGAGCGTGGTTTGAGGGTCGTGTCCTTGAACATGAACTTCTGTGCGCGAGAGAACTACTGGCTGATGGTGAACTCCACAGACCCGGCGGGTCAGCTCCAGTGGCTCATTAATATACTACAAGAGTCAGAGAACAAGGGAGAGAAGGTACGAGGAGTTTACAAACAGAGAAACCAGAAAACCTCTTATTTTGTATTAAAAACATAAGAAAACAAACAACAATGTTGAAGCCATTTGCTCGCTGCAGCAGTTTAACAAGTTGCAATGTTAGTGTTTGTGGGTTAGAGGCGTTTTAACATCCAGGCAACTGATCACGAGTCAGACCAGCTAGAAGCGGATGTGAGGCCGTTTCAGTTTTTAACTTTTGTTTGTATTTGGACTTGGTATTATATATTAGATCATGCCAATGATCCTTCTACTACTAAATGTTACTCAAATTATTTTGTAAGATGATCCACAATTCTTTTATTTTTCTCAAAACAAAACCAAAAATCTTGGTTTATCTTGAATATCTTGAATTTTTGTTGTTTGCAGTTTTGTTTTTTTGTTCTGTTTAGTATTTCAATTTTGTGTAATTTCTCTCTCAGGTCCACATCATCGGTCACATCCCCCCGGGACTCTGTTTGAGCAGCTGGAGTTGGAATTACTATCATATAGTGAACAGGTCAGTCACTTTTCTGTGAACACACTGTATGGGCCGTCCTGCTGTACACAAGAGTTCACTGTTATCTGTTGTAACCCGTGGTTGAATCAACACAACTGCGTGACTGTGGCCTAAAGGCTTCTAACAGCTCCACAGTGCCTTTTATGATCACAAGTGTCATACTGTTGCAAAAATGGGTCATGTTGACTGTAACTGCCTGGTTTTGAGATAATTGTATTTGCCATTTGCCATATGTACCGGGAGGTGTATGTAATGCAGTGGTTAATGGTTCACTTTAGCAAGCAGTCTGGTTCCTTCCTATAATCCTCTTTCATTTTCCAGATATGAAAGCACCATAACTGGTCAGTTTTTTGGACACACGCATGTCGATGAGTTTCAGATGTTCTATGATGAAGATACATTGACTCGTCCACTAAGTGTGGCTTTCATCGCCCCAAGTGTGACCACTTATGTCAACCTGAACCCAGGTGCTCACTGTACTATATTAGTTGATAGATATTTTATTTTTAAATCTAATTTAATTCAAAATTTAATTTAATTGAAGAAAAAAATTACCAAATTTTATTTGAGCTTTTTTATTTATTTATTTATTTTGTTGTTGTTGTTGTTGTTTTAATCTTAAAATCAGTCTGTTTATTCTAATAGGTTTATTTTTGCTTTCGCATTTATTGTAGCTGTGTTTTGGGGTCAGTATTTTTATTTATTTATTTATTTATTTTAAAGGAAGTAATACCATGTATTTAATTACTATGTATGAAATTAATCAAAAGTGATCGTAAAGACAATTAAGGTCCTTGCACACTGGGTCCGAAATTTTCGTATGCGTAAAAAAAAAAAAAAATTCGTATTCGTATTCGTCAACCTTTCCTATCAAAATGCTTGCTACGGATGCCAAAACGCAGAAAATCGAACCTGATCCAAATTGTTTTATGACGGACGAAACATTCGGAGGCAGTGTGTAAACATGATTGACACGACGTGAGGTCGTATTTATTTTTTAACGTGCGAAAATTTCGGACTCTGTGTGCAAAGACCTTTAATGTTATAAAGTTTCAATTAAATGCTGTTCTTCATAAAATAATCATTAATTGTATAGTGCTTTATACAAAATATATTTTTTAATCATTTTATTACTGACTTTTTTTTTTTACTTGCCATGTAGTTATTTTAATTAGTTTTTTTTTATTTTAGCATAGTTTTATGTGGTTTTAAATTTTTATTTTGGTGTTTAATTATATTTATTTATGTTTTGTTTTAGCATATAGTTAACTTGCCATGTAGTTATTTTAATTAGTTTTTTTTTATTTTAGCATAGTTTTGTGGTTTTAAATTTTTATTTTGGTGTTTAATTATATTTATTTATGTTTTGTTTTAGCATATAGTTATTTAATTTCTATTTTAGCATTTAGTTATTCACACAAAATCGTAGCTTATTGCTATAACATGCTTTTTTTTATGGTCAGGATATCGCGTATATTACGTGGATGGAAACTACCCAGGCAGCAATCGCATGGTTTTGGATCATGAGACTTTTATTCTTAACCTGACTCTGGCTAACAACCAGCCCTCAAAACCTGACCCCAACCCATCCTGGACCTTACTGTACCGCGCGTCTAAGGCCTACGGTTTGTCCACACTCTTCCCATCAGACATGGACACTTTAATCAAAGTCATGAAGAATGATGACCGTGTCTTCCAGCACTTCTGGTACCTCTTTCATAAAGGCCACGTCTCAAAGCCCTGCACAGACACTTGCAAGACATCACTAATCTGCCTTCTACACAGCGGACGATACGACCTTCTAACGCAGTGTGACGTGCTACACGGAGATAAACACTCTGTTAGGAAGACAATGTGTTGAGAAAATATGAAACTAGAGTTCTAATGGGTTTAATACCACACCAACATCACAGACACTTTCATTTGAACTACTTTTTGTAGCATTTGTTACGTTTGTACTTGAGATCATCAAAAGCTGACTTGCTATGGACATTTATTTAAAGCTGTAAGGTCAAGATAGGGTTAAAAAAAATCAGCAGTTCTTGTAAAGATGTGGACTTTAGAGCAGAGAACCAAAGTAAAGTATTACTGGTTGAAAGTGGAACAGGTAGTGACTTCACTGAATCGTGTAAAAACCACAACTGCTCAAACGTCTCAGTCCTCATTCTCACTCATGTGGTTCAGTGTGATTTGCGTCACTTTTGATCGGATTGTGGTCTGTCACTTTAGAAGTGATATCTATATTTAGTGTTATCACTTCCTGCATTGAGCTATAGGTTGCACACTGGAGCCTGTTGAAGGCTTATTGTAAAAGAAAATTGATTCAACCACAAGTCGTTAAACTTAATTGTTTTAATGGCTAATGCAAGGATGAAGAGATTCTGTGATCATGTGATTGTTTCTCTGTGTGAACTGTCGCACTTGCTGAAAATTATTTTGCAATTCTAGTGGGATTTTATGAATGTTGAAATGGATTGTCTGAAGGTCTAGATTAATAAATAATTATTTTGCAAGGTAATTTGTTTATAGATTTAAACTGTGCGGTACAGTTCAAAAGTTTGGATTCACAATGTTGTTGGAAAAAGTAAATTTTATTGAGCAACTACGCATTAAATGAATCAAAAGTGATTTATGTTGTTAATGTCACAAATTTCTGTTCCAAAGCAATGCTGTTCCTTTGAAATTTAATAAAATAATTCTGGGGAAAAAATGTATTGCAGATTACACAAAATTAAGCAGTACAACAGTTTTCAACCGATAAAAGTGAGAAATGTTTAGGTGACAAATCATTTAATCAGAATGATTTCTGAAGGATCATGTGGCACTGAAGACTGGAGTAATGATGCTGAAAATTCTGTTTGCGTCACAGGAATAAATTACATTTTATAATATATTCAATTAGAAAAGTTATTTTGTAATTATTTAATTGCAGTTTTTACTGTATTTTTGATCAAATAAATACAGCTTCGGTGAGCATGAGATGCATTTTGAAAAAATCTAAAAATACAAAAAAATCTAATCTTTTAAATGGTAGTGTTTTGTATATTTAATTAAGTCTCATCTTTTTGAATTAATTGATATGGCATTCAATTTACAAATACAGAGTAGACCTCTGTTACCAAGCTTTATCAAATATAAATATTCTAAAGAATTCAAAACTTAAACCAGAAAGGACTCTTTTCTATTTAAATGTTGTGGATAAGAGCTACATTATAGGAACAAGCTGAAAATACATTATAGGTTTCACTGAATACAAGCATCCCACTCCTCAAATGTGACGCAGTGCAAGACAGAACCACTAGGAGTCAGTAGATCATGCCTGATGACAGTATGTACTCAACAAATATTTAAACATATTTTCCATGGAAGCAGGTGTTTGATATGTAAATACTTTTTTGAATCATTTCTTTCACAGAATAATTTTAACTGCTGCCAAGGATAAACAGAACCACAGTACAAAAACAAAGAATTTCCAATACATTTTTTGCACACAAAAACAACCATGGAAATACAATGACATTTTTTACACATCACATTCAAATCTTATATATCTGTAGATTTATGTGGAGTGTTTACATTGGCTTCAGTTTGCAGCTTATTGTAAGTATACCTCAAGAGATATATCTACTTATACGAAAGGACAAGAATAGTAAACAATATCCACTGTCAGAGAATTGTCTTCTCAAGGGTCTGTGAAATACAACGTCACTCCGAAGTCCTCCTTGTAGATGTCCCAGGTCTTTGATTTGTGTGGATTGTCCAGCTCCTCCCTCGAAAGATCCAGTCTATGACACAAACAACAACACAAAGATTTCAGCTCTCCAAAGAAAGAAAAAAAAAAACGTCCAAAACTACTGACAAAAAATCCCACCTGTTGTTCTCAACAAAAGAGGTGTTAAACCAGAAATAGAAAGGACAGTCCTCGTAACCCTTTGGCAAACCCTGGACAGAGAGAAAAAAGGAGTTCAAGCAACAGTGAACCTCATTTAAACGTCCTGCTGACAACACTTCATCAAATA